AAGAGATTAAAAATGTGAATGATACTGAATTTTGTCAGGATTACAGAATTATTGCCTTATTCAGTGCCATTTCTTTCAAAAAGATCAGTTCCTCCCCTTGAATATTAACTTTGTTATCAAATGTTGCTCTAAAAATTCTTTCTTTTAATTCTTTTTTATCGAATTTTATGTGGACTTCCCTGGGTTTTTTATTTTTTTTCGCCCATGCTGAATTTCTTCTATAAATTGCAGCTATTCCCGTCTCTAATTCTTCAACCGTGGCTACCTCTAATTGTTCTGCCAGATTTTTAACCATAACTTCTTTAAGACTTTTTTCAATGTTTTCTGGGACGTTTTGGCACCTTATTATCAAATCTGCCTTTTCCATTTCCAACTGTATCAGCGACTCCTCTAGTCTTTCATTATTACTTTTCATTTCTTGAGCATCTAATTCCAACTCTCGTACTCTCTCTTTAACTTTTCCCTGATTATTTGCCACTCTTTTTATTTCAAGCGTATTTACAGCCAATTTCTGCGTATTTTCAGCTACCTGTCTCTTTAATTCTTCGGTATCACTTTTAATTTGTGCCGCCAGGTTATCCATTTTTGCGCACATGGGGTCTAGTTCGTTTTTAATTAACACGGGCAGTGTGTTCTCTACCGTTTTCATTGCCTGTGCCACAGCTGATGCAACACTCTCTTGCATTAGCTTTGTTAGGTCCTTCATCATCGTCTGAGTGTTGCTCATATTTGTTAACTTAAGTTGACTTGTTCCACCCTGTTGTCCTGGGGAAGTTAACGATGGTTTCCTACCCCCACTGCCTCCTGCTGCCATATGTTAATTTCTACTTTTTCTTTACCTTTAACCCTCTTTATTTTAATTATTATTAATATCTGCTATTATGATTTATTTTACTTTTACTTTATATTCGTTAAATATATTTTTTATTTTATTGTCTCTAGTTATCGTCTTGCGGCTTATTTTTTATTTTTTATTTAAGTTTTGTAATAATTTGTAATAGATTCTTTTGTTTTATTTGTTGTTTCTATTTAAATTTTATTGTTCTTATTTTTTCCTTTATATTTTTTGTATGCAATACTGTTCAATAGTTAATTTATTATATTTAATTATTTAGTTGAAATTAATCCAATTATTTATGTCTGAAAATTAATTTTAATTTTTTGATATATGTATATATTTTACAATCAGCAGTTAATTAAGTGATAATTATCCTACCTACAAGTCTTCCTATCCCTTTCCCCTTCTTATCTACCACCCACTTTCCTCAATTTAATTTATTTATTTGTACCCTTCTTAAATTACAATTTTACTTAATACTTGTGTGGATTTATTTATTTATATACTTGACTATTTATTTTTGTTGTTTTTTGTATGTGCCTTTTAATTCCCTCTAATTTAATCCCTCTTATTATCAAACGTGTCCTGCACTTCGCCCTCTTTTTCCCGTCCTACCAAGCTTCTTTGCCCCTTCTCTTTCTGTTTCCCCTACACTTTATTCTGCAGTCCTCTATTCAAAGTTATTGGCTCCGACTCTGTTGTTTCTCCGCCCTTTCACCCAAACACATTAGATCAATGTCCTCTTTATTTTGCTCCCGGTTTCTTTCTCCTTCATGCGTGTTCACGCGTGCTTAGTCCTGCTCCGGTTTGCCTCGGCTCGCCTTCCTGGACAGTTCTCGGCTCTTCGGCCCTTCGGCTCCTCGCGGGCCTATTGCGACCCCAGTCTGCTTGCCTTCTTCTGCTGGCCCGCAGCTCCGCCTTTCTCCCCGCGTCGCTCTCCGGCACTCCGTCTGCAGCCCCGCCTCTCTGCCTCTGTCGCTCTGTCGCTCTCCGGCTCTCCGTCTGCTGCCCCGCCTTTCTCCTTATGTCGCTCCGGCTCTCCGTCAATGGCCCCACCTTTCTCCACGCGTCTCCTCCCGACTCTCCGGTAGCTCCAAATTCTGCCTCGTCACCTCGGCCCCTCGCTGTATCTTCTTAAAGCGGTATGCAATCTAAACAATACAAAATAAATTTTCGAGTTTACTGCAGTTTTTCTTTTCTGCCCTGTATCTTAACCTCTTTAAACCTCCACCTCGTACACTGTTTAGCACCTCCCTTTTCTTAGCCGCAAACTATCCCTTTGTGCATGTAATTTTGAGGTAATTAAATTTTATCCTGGCCCCCCGCCCAGGGTCTTAACCCCTTTTTAAACCCCGTTGCTTCTATATTATACTTAGCTTCGGTTATCTTTTACTGGAACTTGTTGACTCTGCTGACTTCCCCGAAGTTTCTCTACTGCTCTTCTCTGCTCGGCGTGGCTGGCTGGTCCCGTCGAGTCTCCCACAAGATTTTACGAACTTTCTTGCTTCAGGGCTGCTGGCACTCAGCCCGGGGGTCGCCACCCCACTGGGCTAGTGTCCAGAAAGACCCCCTGCCAAACCTTCACTGCTGGAAACGGTTTGAGACTGTGGAATAGTCTTAGAAAGTCCTGGGACAGAGGAGCGAACAGCAAACGCTCCTTCTGTCGATGAGCAGGAACCGGAAGTCCTCTATTTTGTGCATTCCTGAGTGGTAAAATCCCATGCCTTGTCCATAAGTGATCTGTGTTGCTATTTTTTCTTGTCTCTACAGAGACCAGCAAGTTTCCCATTAAATGGAACAATATACAGATAACATACAGATAGTAGTGATAGCACACTAATTCTTCTGGTTGCCTTGCTTGGTTTGGGAGGAAAATATTTAGGGTATACTTGCTTCTCCATAGTTTAGGTAATCATGCATTTTTTTAAAAAAGATAGGATCAAGTTGTTTTATTTTGTGCCTCAAGTGTACTATGTTAGATCCAGAATTAAAAATATATTCTCTGAAGGTTAAGCTAAAAGAGATTAAAAATGTGAATGATACTGAATTTTGTCAGGATTACAGAATTATTGCCTTATTCAGTGCCACAGCTCACACATACGTATTCATCCCTTGATAATTTAGCATTAAAATGTCATTTGACTGGTGAAATGAACCATTATCAAGTGGTGTACATTTTTATATGAATAGGGTCTAAGTTTCTTCAGCTACAGTAAATAGGAATTAATTCAGTACATGCCCAGCTTTTATGGTGAATACAGATGAAAAATATGAAATGGTTCAAAAGAGATCTTTATTGAAAAACTCTCAACATGTTTTGAGCAACTTCTTTTTTCAGGGAAATAATTGTCTAAAGCACAAAATTATTTAAATATGTAAAGTTTTCTTCATGTTCCTTGTATTTGTGCTGCTGATACTATCCTTCTGCATAAGTTTTACAGCTTTAAAATGAAGTGACATTATTGAAGCAATCTGAAATTCTACTGTTATAAATTAAAGATAGTAAAACTAAACATATAATTAATTTTACAGTAAGGTTGTACTATATTATATGTATTAGGCCTTACAGTAAGGTTGTACTATATTATATGTATTAGGCCTGTAGTTTTAAAGGTATATTTCATCTAAAGTTTAAGTTATTTGACTGGAATGTAAGGTTTAAATTATAAGAAATGATGTAGAAGTTATAGCTTAGATGTACAGCTTAGAGCCAGTTTGGTGTAGTGGTTAAGTGTGCGGACTCTAATCTGGGAGAACCGGGTTTGATTCCCCACTCCTCTACTTGCACCTGGCTGGATGACCTTGGGTCAGTCACAGCTGTTCCTGAAAGAGCAGTTTGTGTCAGAGTTCTCTCAGCCCTGCCCACCTGACAGGGTGTCTGTTGTGGGGAGGGGAAGGGAAAGGAGTTTGTAAGCTGCTCTGAGACTCCAAGTGAAGGGCGGGGTATAAATCCAATCTCTTCTTCTTCTTCTTTGGATGACTGGACATAAAAGCCATTGAAAGAAATCATGGAAAAAAGACCCTTGACTTTGGTGGTTTCAGGATCTTTTCTAAGGCTAACATGCAGCGTTTGCCACGCAATACCCATGAATGCTGGGTGGATTCTAAGGGTGCGATCACATGGACACATCTGGCAAGCATCGTGCACCCGCCCCCAACCCATACCGCCTGGCTGAAGCTGCAGAGTAAAAAAGTACCTTGGAAAGTCCACTTGCAAATTGTTTGCAACGGGCTACAGACAGGCTGTCTCAGTCTGATCGCTCCAGTGCACTCCTACTGCCTCCCTGCTTCCTCGTTGAAGCATGCCGAAACACGCACTGACAGAAAAAAAAACCTGGGTTCACCGCCGTCGCATCTGATCGCCGTAGTGGTGGGTCAAATTGCGATGGCACGAATAGGCTCCCCCCCCCCCCCCTGCGTTACCTGGCAGCCTGAGTCACACAAAGAAATGTGTGGTAATGGTTCCACCATATGTGTAAGGGCATCAAACCTAAAGAGAGTTGAAGCTCTTGGTAAAGGTATTTCCAACCTAGATGTCTGGGGGTTTACTAGGCAAGCATTTCCCCCCCTTAAACTGTCCGTCTTTTGGGATACTTAAGGGGCTTTGTTTCCTAATAACCAAGTATAGGTCATATCTGGCTCCTAAATTTATTCCCAAACTTTCTGCAAAGTTATTTTCTTTCAACCTTTTCTTCAAATCAAGGTCTTCGCAAGAAAACTAGTGGAAGCTGTGCCAGTATAACACAATCACTAACCACTCCTTAGAAAGATGGGATTTAAAATATGTGATTTCACAATCCAATGGCATTGGAGCTTTTACTGAGCTGGGTTCTAAGTTCAACCAGTCTGCCAATTTACAAATATGCTTACTATTAAAAGGCTTATGTTTTATTAAAATTGTTTTAGCAACCTTTAAAGCACATTTAAGGAGAAATAAAGGAATAAGTAACTGTAATGATAAAAAGTCCCCAATATTAAAATATGGGTTCTTCTCCTTCTAAATTTTGTCTGCTGTGATTGTCTCCTGTTTTTCATTATTTACGTCATGAATCTTTGTTACAAGTGTAGCTTGTGTTCCTTTTATGTGAGCAATACAGCTTTGCTACTGAACCTGCATTTGAGAACTGATCCTCATTTATACTTCTTATTTGTTTTTTAAAAGAGAACTCAACAATAGCACGTCAAAGGAGTGGTTTCCCAGCTTCATTTTGGACCAGTTCTTATCAAACTCCACCTCCACCATGCTTGAGTGGAGTTCATCATGATTTTCCAGTTACAGCACCAAGCACCTTCTCAGCAGCAGATCCTAGCAACTGGCCAGGACGTACCCTGCATCAGACTGCTCCACCTCCTCCTCCTAGCATGTCAGAATCCTGGCATTATCCTTTAGCATCTCAGGTGAGTCCTACATATGGACACATGCATGATGTATACATGCATCACCATCACCCCCATGCTCACATGCATCACCACCACCCGCCGACTTCACACCTTGACCCCGGGTACAGACCTTTGCTGATGCCTTCAGTTTGTACAGGCAAGATTCCTCCACCACATTGTGATGCAGCCAAGACAGATTCTACTGCTGTCACCAGTGCTACCTCAGCATGGGCAGGAGCTTTTCATGGGACAGTCGACATTGTGCCAGCCTTTGGGTTTGACACAGGTAAGCTGTAATTTGCTCTTGTCCATACATTACATTATTTAAAAATGCATTGCAACTGAACATCTTCTAATTTTTCAATGGGTCTGCTAGCTATGAATTCCAGAAACAATTAGGTAAGATTGAGTTTGCAGGGATGTCAAGATTTGCAAATCAATCCTAAAGGAATCAACTGTTCACTTCCACTGAAAAAATATGGTACTTTATTTAAAACAGCTGAACAATTCATAGATACTGATAATCCCATAATGCAAGGGTTCATTATTTGTACTACAATATGATCATAAGCACCCAGTAGTCAAAGGTAATTATTGGGAACTAAACACCAAGGCCATTATGTTGAAGACCTATTCACATTTTCATGGAAATAGCGTTCTTTCACATCAGTAGGAATTTCATATAAAGTGCATGTTTTTAGGATTGCAGCACTGTACTTTTGTTGTTGTATGTATAAGCAGCTGCTGTGAAATCTTTTATTTAACCCTATGTAAGAAGAGGAAGTTCTGAATATACTTACTTCATATGGTATCTTTAAAATTCCAACCCAAATGCTATACCTCCCCACATATATATGAATGAAAATCTACCAAAAATACTAATTCTCCAGGTCAAATAATTCTTCAAGACAAAGAAATATTTAAATCACTCTAGAAGCCACTTTCCTTCTATGATAATTTTAATACTGGAAATAGTAGTTGGAGTGGAGGTAAAGTCCTTCACTTTGAGCTCCAGAAGCTCCATGCCCCCCCCCCGAAACTTCACAGTTCTTCAGTATAAAGCTGGGTGATGACAATGAATCCATTTTCAAAATACAGGCTTTTTAATTTGTGACATGAACAGCTTCAATTTAAACAATGGGAACAGGGCTTTTTTTAATGTCAGTGGGGCCATCATATTCCAAACATAGTCCAAATCGTAGCCATCTGACTTGCCCAGGTTGTCCCATGGTAAGTTACCCATTGGTGTTTTCCGCAAAGGACAGCATTTTGTGGTTTTGTCATTACTGGTGCAGCTGCAGATAAAGCACAGCAACACCAGGGCTTCCACATGGCAGGTGTCTTCACAGTTTCCCTACCCCAATCTCCTGGAAGTGGCCATCCCCACTTCCTGGGCCACCAGGGCTTCTGCATTTTTTTTTAAAAAAATAGGCATTGAAATATCATTATATTGATCTACTGATAGATGTAGCAGCTTCTCTGAATTCCTAGTTTTCATTTTTAAAAATGTCTATAGCCCCTTTCCTTGCAGATTTTGCCTTTTACCTATTCTAGTGTGGATTTTAAACATAATAGCCCCCCGTGGCAAGATGAGGAGATGGCTACCATGGGGACAGGGTGAGCGGGTTTAAGAAAGATTGGGGGAAAGCCAGCAAGCCCCTGGAGGAGCACGAATGCATTATTGTGCTGTGGAAAAATGGGGGGGGGAGACACCCAGTCCCCCAAAGCAGTGAACTCAGTGCAGATAACCTGTGAGGAAGACATGATTGTAGATGAATGATAAAAGATGGGTTTTTCAAGAAGAGTGAAAGTGATCTTTAAAAATTCACACTGCTAGCCACTATGAATGCAAATATGGGACGGTAATTACACTGATTTTGAAAATATCTGCTTTTATTTTTTATTTTTTTTATTTATCCTTGGATTTATATCCCGCCTTACCCCGAAGGCTCAGGGCGGCATTTTAGCATTATCCCGACTTTCATTTCCAAACTCAACCTGTTGCGCAGGGGGATCATATGAGTATTTACTCAGAATCTAGGAGCTTTTTTTTACTTTTGTTTTGCTGATTTGTGTGACTGCTTATTCCTTTGAAAATAGGTATATCTTTTGAGCTGGTACTTGGATTTGAAATGGGGTTGCCGGCAATGCTCCCTCTAAGCTGTGGAATCTTGTGAGCAAAAGTTCTACTTTGTAAGCTACTGGCATTGAAGTTGTGAGCGAGCAATTTGGCTACAACATAAATTAGTTTGCTCTGGAGCCATCCTTCCCAAGCTAAGACAAAAAATGTGTGAGCCAGAGGCAAAAAACCTGAGCTAGCTCACCCTAACTCAGTTCAGAGGGAACACTGGTTGCCAGGTACTCCCCGGCAACTGGCAGGTGGTGGTGGGACTTACTGGGAGCAGAGGCAGGCCTAAGCTTGCATTGCTGGTGACGTAGCAATGTTACCTCCAGTACACACCAGAAGTGACATTATTGTATTGCCAGCATCATGGGGACACTCTGGTATTTGGGCAAAAACTCCATGGTAGAAGGTATTTTTACCATAGATTTTTTTGTCCATATATCAGAGCATTCCCCATTGCTGGTGTCACAATGATGCCACTTCTGGTGTGTGTTGGAAATGACATCACTGCATTGTCAGCAATGCAGGCCTAGTTTCCCTGCTGGTAAGCCCCCTGCCAGCCAGATGATTGGCATCAGTTTCTTCAGACATTATTAGCCAAGAGGTGATTATTCTGATCAATGGTAGCCTTTGTTTAAGATGCTGCTTCAAACTTAAACATATGTTCCTTCAGGTATCTTTAGTAGTAGTAAAAAGGTACCAGTATTTTATTAGATTTCCAGTGTTTGATTGACTATATATGAACATAAGAAGAACCCTGCTGTCTCAGACAAATGATCAATCTAGTTCAGGCTCCTCTTTCCATCAGTAGCCAGATGTTTCCAGGGAGCTCACAGGAAATTCACAAGGCAACAGCCCTCCCTCTCTCTGTAGTGTTTTGGCATTCAGAAGTACAATGCCTTTGAACATAAGCATTCTATTTAGTTATCATGACTATATCTTAGCTAAATTATGGGGCAGATGGCTTGCCATGTTTCACTGGTCTTGCTGCGATAAACACGTAAAGTGTGAAGAGCAACCGCACACATCCCTACACTTGTGCCTATGAGCTATTCTAATCCATCTGTTTAAGTGCCTGTTTTCTTTCTCCCAAACCAGCGATAGAAAAGCAGCAGTGTCTGTGAGGCAATACACATGTGGATAACAGAGGAGAAGGCCTAGTCCAGGGAGTGCTTAAGCTAAGGGCAGTTTTGGCCAAATGCCAAGTCTTATAAACTGGTTGCTTTCGCTTATGAATATAGAGTAACCAACTACAGGGAGTCGATGCCCTGCTTAACCATGCTATGCCTACCCCCCCACACACACACGCACACACAAACACAGAGATAAGGAAAAAGTAACCCTGTGGTTTACATAGCACATGGGAGCTATTATCTATATATTCACATGTGTTCCAAAAGTATGGAAACTCAGTTTTCGTATGTAATTCTGTACCATGTAAGCAGTGAATTTGTTCCATGGTCACTGTTTGCTCACAACGCTGTCTGTGTGATAATAGCATATTTTTAAATATTGGAGCATGCTGAGGATTCTGAATAGGAATAGTCTAGCCAGTTACCAGCTGGGCCACAACAGTTGGAACAACTAGAGAGGATGATAAAGAGTGACTTACGGGGGGCAGGAAGAGTGACTTACGGAGGGACAGTACTTTGACTATGAACAACACCTTTGCCTTCTTAATCTAAAAGCATTAATATTCCATGCACTCACATTTTTCCTTGGTCCTTGAGTCCTTTGAAGCTGAAATCAGTAGTATGCAAATTTTTAATATGTTCTAAAATTCTACACTTTAAGCTATGACAGTCAATGTATTGCAAAGCTTATCTTAAACAGATAAGTACAGTCTTGTGCATATTTAAACAAAACAAAAATTAGCCAAGTAATGTTATCAGGACATCAGACTTCTTCTTCCCTGCATGCAAGTTCTAAAAAATTAATCCATTTTAAAGAGTCGACCACCTGCCGCAAAGGCCAATTATATGTGTTAGATCAGACAAGCAGGTGTTACCTGCTCCTTTATCTTGCTGACATGTGTCACCTTGGGATGAAGCTGTGGCCAATTTCCCCCCGCTTGGTTTGTGTCATTGTTTTTCCTCATTTTCTCTTGCCCCTCAGTCCACAAATACCCTTCTGTCTTCATTCTTGTATTTCTGTCTGCACCCTCCATTGATCAGCCGTTCATAGTATCACCACTCTTAAACATACCACATTAAAACCATGCACATAAGGCAAAGCCCTGAGAAATTGCAGCCATGATCATTTAAGTGCCTAATAGGAAGGGGGTGGGCATATCAACCTCTGAGGGGAAATAATGGAAATGGGATTGAATAACCTCCTCGTTTTGACCTATTTGTGCATTAAAATCTTCTACTAACACAACACAGGCTTCTGGATACAAAAGCATTGAATTACTTTTATACTCTTCAAGTTTAGACCAGTAGTTGTTGATGTTGGGAAGGAAGATGAACATTAATAGTGAAGAGCAGCCTTGACTTAAATTTAAGAATCAGTGCATGTGTGTAAGAGGGCAGTGATTCAGGACTGATAACTGATGCCTGTAACTTGGTAGACACACAAATATCCAGATCTGCAGCTGCCTCCCATGACACTAGGAATCACTTTGGAGATGTAGTAAAAAAAGCCATTCATAACCAATTCTTCTTGAGTCCAAGTTTCCTGGAATAGGATGACATAAAATTTAGTAACATATTCAATGAAAGAGATGTCATTAATATTCCTGGGCCACCCTGCAACATTCCAAGAGAGCAACTTAATAGAGGTGTTTTCTTGGTTCACGTGTAGTTAAACAGGGAATTTAGAATCAGACCTCTGGGAGCTGTTCATTTCTATGTTCTTTGTGAAAGTTGTTGTATACTGGTCATTGTAAGGATCCCTCAGCATGAGATGCTGACTCTCCTGAGCACTGTTCCCTCTAAGTTAAGTTAGTGTGAGCTAGTTCAGAGTTTTTTAGCTTCTGGCTCACACATTTTTGTCTTAGCTCAGGAAGGATGGCTCCAGAGCAAACTAATTTATGCAGTAGCCATATTGCTCGCTCACAACTTTAATGCCAGTAGCTCACAAAGTAGAATTTTTGCTCACAAGACTCCACAGCTTAGGGGGAACATTGCTCCTGAGGGCATTGTAAATCCAAAATTGTATCC